TCAACACTGCAAAGGTAAAAAACAAAAGTTACTTACAAATCATCAACTGTAAATCTGTAGTAGGACTAAACCACTACATCTATAATTATTGGACAGCGTCTTTGGGAATCCATTAGGTTGCACACCACACACACTTAAAAGTACAGTGCTCAGCATAAATGAGTACACTCCAACAGATTTGTCAGAAAACCTTTACATTCCTTTTAGAATCAACATTTGCTATGGGACACTATACTACAAAATACTCCCACAAATGCGGGCCATTGATTGCAAACAAGATTTGTTAATTTGCACATACAAAAAAGTATTTTTCCTAACAAATGAATACACCCCAATGAAAGTCTTAGGAGTACAGCTAAATTTTAGACAAAAATCCAAATTAACAAGAATTCAAGTACAGGTGAGTCTAAATTTTTCATTAAACAGGGTGTCCAGAAGACAGTTGATTATAAAAGGGCATTACTTAACAAATAAAACCCCTCCCCACTTCATGCTGTCACCAATGGCACCACATGGAAAAGAAATGTCACAAGGCCTGAGGAAGAAATTAAATTTCTTTACACAAGAAAGGTGAAGGCTACAAGAAGATCAGAAAGCTTTACTTATCAGTCAGAATACTGTAGCAAAACATTTAACAAAGATGGAACTGCAACCATCTCACAGAGACGTCCAGGCCATCCATAGAAGTTACCATCTCGACAGGAGTTTTTTCTGATGAGAAGGGTTGAAGAAAACCACCATGCAAGTTCACTGCAGTTAGCTAAAGAAGAGAAAGCCAAACTGGGGTGAATGAAAAGGGGGGTGGGGAGATGGGGAAAGAAAAGAGGTTAAATTAGAAGAACAAGGTAGATCGTTGTTTTGTCAATATTTCTTGTGGCACAATACAGACACTGCAGAAGAATGGCATGCATGGGTGTCATTCACGAAGGAAGCCTCTCCTAAAGCCCATGCACAAAAAAACCCACCCAGGAGGAAAAATGCATGGTGGTGCAGTGAAACATGGTGGTGGCAGTGTCCTTCTGTTGGGCTGCATAAGTGCTGCTGGTGTCGGGGAGCTGCATTTCATTGATGGTATCATGAATTCACAGATGTACTGTTCCACATTGAAAGAGAAGATGCTACCATCACTCCGTGCCCTTGGTCGTCTTGCACTTTTCCAACATGACAATGATCGAAAACACACATCTAAGGCCGCTGTTGCATTTGTGAAGAAGATCAGGGTGAAAGTGATTCAGTGGCCAAGTATGTCTCCTGATCTGAACCCAATCGAACACCTACAGTATGGGGAATTCTGAAGAGACATTTTGAGCAGCACTCTCCATCCAGCATCCAGGCTCTAAAAGAGGTCATTCTTGAAGAATAGAAAAAGATAGATGTTGCAATATGCCACCAAATTGTTTTTTTTTTTATGTCTAGAAGACTTGGTGCTGTCCTTACAAATCATGGAGTCATACAAAATAATAGATAATAGTAGTTTTTGTTGTGGGGTGTATTAGTTTTTGCATCAACTAATTCGAACTGAAGATTTTGTAATCCAAGTTATATTATTAACCTTACTTTTATGTAATGAGCTAAACAAATGTTCTATACAACTCAGTTTTGTCAAAATATTGGAAATGGGTCTTGTGTTCATTGAGATATTGATTAAAATCTCACTTTTAAAAAGGGGTGTACTCATTTATGCTGAGCACTGTATGTTCTAAGGCTTAGAACATCTTCAAATTTTAACTGTTATCTGTAATTCCATTGGAGAGATCTCACCTTACGCCTTGCCCCAGTCACAACAGGACAAGAAAGGAGTAGAATGGGTGCCAATGGGACAGAATGGTACAGCCATCAATACAAATTTGGCAGAGGATCTAACCCTTCCAGACTAAGCTAAAACATGTTTTTGGTTTCATTTCTGACTCTAGTCCCATTGGAGAGACTTTCAATCACTTACTGCCCCCGTGACACCCTGTCTTTCAGATAGAAAGTGAGGTATAACATCCTCCCTTCTGCTAAATTGCTGAAGAAATGTAAGAAAAAATCTGAATGCCCAAATACTTACCTAGATCATTGGTCACATGACAGGTCTTCTCTCCTCTGGGCTGCAGAGTGTAAGAATAATATTTTGGGATTTAAGGTGACACTTTCCATTGGCATAGTCTTAACAAGCCCTGAAAACTCCAGCAGAAGGGTTGGTGAACCTGCAGAGCTAGATCACAGGCATTCACTGATAGAAGCGGCGTTGGCTCAGAACATATGATGATGGAGTCAATTAAAAAAAGGAGAGGGGATAGTGTTAGTTATATGTGCCTGGGGTGGGCTTTATCCTTATATTTATACTTATCCTTTCAATGTAAATGCTCTCTGCCTTCCCAAGATACTCTGCATTGGCAGAGCTGAGTAACAGCCACACCCCTCATCACAAGTGTCCTCACACAGGCATGTATGAAAATGGAGGTTGTTAATGCAAGGTCTGAACTAAAACCTTCTCACAGCCACTAGTCACATCCAAACCTGCCTCCCAGGGTTTAAATCTAATTCATGACAGATCAAGCAGAAGTTATACTGAACAGATCAACTCTCTAAGTAGTACACTTTGCTTTTAGATTTTGGACTGTTTTATTACTGTATTTCAGATTTTCACTAAATGGATAGGGTTAAGTACAACTCTACTGCCTGAGGACACACTTGAAGTGTGCTAAATCTTTGCAGCAGAACCAATGAGCACATAAAGAATTAGAAACCAGTTGGATAAGTCTACATTTTAAGTTTGTCAGCTTAAGAATGCAGCTAAATACCTGTTTCAGAAAATTCTAATAGAGATAACCATTATCTAACTACATACATTTTCTATGCAAGTGAAGCATTATCAGGTTGGCCTTAATGCTACTGATGTAACTCTTTCTAAGCAAGAAGGTGGCCTATGGATTTAAAATTTGTTGCTTCCATCAGAGACTTCCTACACAAATATTTAGCTAAATTATAGAATATCTTTAAGAAGTGCAGAATGAGATGAGGAACACACAATGACTTTTACAGAAATTGCTTCAGAACAAAGCATTTGTACACTTTCTAACTGAATGGCAAAATTTTAAATTTTGAATTATATATAACAACAATTAGATCTACGTTTCTGAAGCTGGGAGAGCTGATCCTTTAAACCTCATAACCATGATGATTTAAAGGCCATTCTTACCATAGCATTGCTGCAAAGCATCATGCCCATGTTAGTGCAGCAACATTCATTTTCAATTGCACACCAAGTGCTAAGGGCTCCATCATACCACAGATTGATATGCAAATGCCACGGCAGTCCTCCTTCTGAAAATTCTAGTAGTCTAGGTATTATGATGACTCAACAGTTTTAATATTTCCTAAGTAAAGCAGGGTATATACAGTTTTTTGTCGGGTTAAATGAAAAAAAAAAAACATGACAGAGCCCCTGAATGAACATAAGCAATGAGGATGCGGGCATCTCTCCCGCTGCGCTGCTGTATTCTGACAGCAGAGACTCACCCTGACCCCCCCCCCCCCCGGTCCCACTAGAATACACAGATCAGAGCTGCAGTCGTTGGCTGCATGTGCTGATTGAATGCTGGTTTTCCAGCAGAAGTGCTTGACAGATGCTGGTCCAACAACCAGCTTCTGTTGAATGGACTAGGGTACACACATACCAAAATTCATCTAGTTCCTGTTGAACCAGCCAAATTTCTGTGTATATCCAGCTTAACTGACCTACATTGAGTATTCAGAATAATAAAGTCAGAAGTCATTATCTGCATACATGTTTTGGGCCAGTGACAAAAAAATATTGAACCTACAGTCATCTTGGCAACCAGGCACATAGCTTTTTGCAGAATGAGAAGTCAGCAATGGCAGTCTCAGTGTTTTCTTTAAGGATAAATTCCAGGCAGATATAAAATACACAAATTAAAACAATATTAAAGCCTTTTTTTGTAACATGATATGGTGATAGCAGGACTTACATGCTCTTATTTTTTTTTTATTTTCTCATCTGTGCTTGCTCCTCACGCATTTGTGTTTTCACAGCATCCACCTTTACGATCACTGAGAAACATATTAATAGTTGACTTACCATTACTTAAATATACTTGTTACCTACTCATCATGAGAGAAACACAGAGCCTGAGCTTTCCAAATGAAATGGTAGTTGTCTGGGTGTCATAGTGACCCTTTGATGTCAGTTATTTAAAGGATACGTTCACTTAAAAAATAAATAAATGCACATTTTTTTGCAGGTAAAAAAAAGTGCATTTACTATTTTTTTAGGAGCCTGGAAAGCATTGCACCAGCAATCAGCAGATCACTGGTGCCATGCAGGACTCGTCAGTGTGAGCTGTCAGCCAGTATATTGTACGGGCAGGTAGTTTCACACTGGCAGGAAGAATCAATGAACTACCACAGTGCTCAACACTGCGGTTGTAGATCATTGAGAACTACAAGCCGACAGCTTCAAAAGTTGTCGGGACATGTAGTTTCCCATTTACAGAACTGTGTGAATGAATGACACACCCAGCACGACCATATTTTTTTTTTTTTAAATTGTGACATTTAGCAGGGGAGAAGATCCGCTGTTAGCTGTCACAATGGAGGACTGGAGAAGCTGGGGCTGGTGTTACAGTAACATGCCATATGTTACTTACTGAAAATGGGTGTAACGTGTTACGAAAGGTGAACTTATCCTTTAAATTACTGACCTGGAAATAAAATACAGATAAGGACTTCTGACTGCTCTCTGATGTTGCTAACCTGCACACCCACTCCAGGTCAGTAAATTAGAATGCATTTAGGCCTCCAGGTGTTAGGCAGCCTCAAAGGCAGTCTGCTGGCGCTCCCCGCTGCCTTTTTCAAGTTCCTTTTCATCCAAGTCACAGATTTTGTCTGGTTGCCAGGCAAGGGAATGAAGCTTCTCTGCTTCTATTGCTTGCCTGCATACTAGTTGTCAGGTAAGAGGGCACCACCTGTGCCTCCCATCCCTTTCCTGTGCCTACCAGGGGCGGACTGACAACTCATGGGGCCCCCCGGGCAATAGAGGATCATTGGGCCCCTGTGTCCTTGCCCAAACTCAAAAAGCCTATGAAAAAGGTACCAGGGGCATCTCATGGGGCCCCCTACTGACCCCGGGCCCTCGGGCAGTGCCTGAGTTTCCAAATGGTCAGTCCGCCCCTGGTGCCTACCCACTGCTACATTGTATTTCCACCAGCATGGGTATCAGTTGCTGAGCAAAAGGTTGGAGCTCATGCCCCCTGCTACCAAGCTGGCCCTATGGGCAGAGGCACCTTAAATATTACCAACCTATGCCTCAGTACTGGTGACTGTATTTCCTGCTGACCAAGTGCAACCTGATTAGTTTGTCTGTTGTTCTTGTTGCTGACCTTTGCTACATTCACAGACACCTTTATTGTTTGCCACCAGCCTTGACATTTTGCTATGTTCACAGATACTTGTAAGGACTGCAGCCTGCCTTACCTTTGCTTTCTTCATGGATTCTTCTACTGTCTGCCACCTGCTCTGACCTTTGCTACCTTCTTGAATATGATTAATGTTTTCTTGTCACCATCTTGTCACCTCCATTTCTGTACATTACATCTTTCCCTTTTGTTACCTTGGGGCCATTATCAACATTCCACAGCCAAAGCATATAGCTTTGTGGACTAAGTCCTGGGGCAAGCTAGTTCAGGTAGGCCTACTTGTCATAAATTGGAACAAAACTTTTTTTTTAAAAACTGTGAGCAGGCAAGATGTTTACCGCAGGAGAGAATTGCAATGTCTCTTCTGCAATAAAGTAAACCTACCTGCTCACAGATTTAAAATGTACACTGAGCTGTAAATGCTGTGTGCTGGGGTGACTGAAATGACATCCCACGTTAGTCAATTAAGATGGCCAACGACCAGCACCCGAATGAAGCTGGGGAGAAGATGTCTTGCCAGCAAGGGACCTCAAAGGCATTGGACCATTGTAGCTAAGGTAACTATCTCTGACTTTAGTTCTGCTTTAAGTGAGTGGAGGCTTCTAAAGGTGAAGTTATAATCGCCCTCTATTTCCTCTGCTTGGAGTGTTAGCAGAACGGCTAGTCATCTAACATTTTCTGATTAACATTGTTAGCCCCCATATATTTGAATAGACTTCGTTTATAGCGACTCTGTCACAAAAACCAAAACAATAAAAAAATAATCCTGTAAAAGAAGTGCTCTAACCACTCCAAAGGATTTACACCCCTTTCTGACCAGGCCACTTTTTGCGATACGGCACTGCGTTACTTTACCTGACAATTGTGCGGTCATGCAACGCTGTACAGAAATTACATTTATGTCCTTTTTTTCCCACAAATAGAGCTTTTTTTCGATGGTATTTGATCACCTGTACATTTGTTTATTTTTTGCGCTATAAACAAAAAAAGACAAACAATTTTGAAAAAAAAAACAATATTGTTGACTTTTTACTATAAAACATATACAGTAAAAAAATGTAATAAATCAAGTTTCGACCAAAATGTATTCTTTGCTAAAAAAAAAAAAATCAGAATACATGTAAATTAATTGGTATACGTTAAAGTTATAGCATCTACAAATGGCGGTATATATACTGGAATTTAAAAAAAAATGTTTATACTTGTAACGGCAGCAATCAGAGACTAATAGCGGGACTGCGGCATGCATGCTGACACTGGGTGGGAACTGACTAACTGCCACTGACATCCCAATGACACCAACACAGTGATCAATGCTAATAAAAAGCACTGATACTGTACTAACGACACTGGGCAGGAAAGGGTTAACATCTGGGGCGATCAAAGGGTTAATTGTGTGCCGGTGGGGAATCTCCAGCCTTGATCCAGTGATCAACATCTGTAGCTGCCAATGGTGGCACGGGAAGGGCGGCACGTGCCCCCTATCCAGAAATGCAAAATCATATCTATATAAGTGATTTTGCACAGCCTTGCCGCCCTGTAGCCAGGGGCGGACTGACAACTTATGGGGCCCCCAGGCAATAGGGGATCATGGGGCCCCTGTGTCCTTGCCCAAACTCAAAAAAGCTTATGAAAAAGGTACCAGGGGCATCTCATGGGGCCTCCTATTGACCCCAAACCCTCGGGCAGTGCCCGAGTTTCCAAATGGTCAGTCCGCCCCTGCCTGTAGCAGTATTTCTGGTGAGGAAGCGGTTAATGTGGTTAATACCACTCCTGTCTCTTGTGTCTCAGATCTTTATCCTCTACACTGGTGTAGAACACTATTAAAGTGCATGTAAAAGCAAGACTTGTTATTTTAGGTTTTAGAAAGAGTAGGAAAGGCTTAGTTTGTCTGTCAAGTTTTATTGCTGGAGAAAAAAAAAAAAACTACAACCCACACTGGCTGACTACTATCATGAATGGTCCCATCCTGAAAAAAAAAGAAAGCCACAAAGCAGCAGAAAGATGTGCAAATATTTAACAAGTATTTTATTAATGCATAAAAATTGGATTTATTTACACATTATTTTTGCGTAAATTTCCACTCTTTTTGTGCAGTTATTTTCCACAATTATTTTCTTTTTGTGGATTTCAGTCCTTGAAATCTGAGTTTGCCATCTGTAATTGTTTTTATTGCTCCCATGTGTAGCAATCGTGCACACAGAGATGGATGCGAACCTCCATTCTGGCAAAGACCTCCATCTTCTATCATTTTCTACTCCCAAAACAGCTTCCCTCATCCCCCCTCCCTCTCTGTTGAGTGACATGTGGTCTGTATGATGCAGAGGTCACAGGCAATCAGGCTTAGTGGGAGAGCTCCAAGGCTATAAAATCCCAACCTAGCTGGTGCCCAGATGTCGGTTAGCTTCTTAATCTGGGATATCGTAAAGCCATAAAACCAAGTCCTTCACTGAGCTCAAAGACATTCCAGGTAGTCATAAACCAGACATCACAATCAACATCCATTTTCCCCTATGATTTCATATCTTGGAATATGAAAGACTTACATAAAAATTAGGCATAAATTCAGATCGGTCACTTTAATACAAGTCACCTGATATATTACACCCTCTAGCTGACATCTAGAGGAGAGCAGAAAATGATATCTCCTTAACCATCACAGCAGGTATGTCATATTTCATAGCTAGACGTTCCGCAGATGCATCAGAATATTAATATACTAGTGGCAAGGCTGCTAAATGCACTGAGGATAAGTTATGGGCCATGATATAAGCTATGAGGGATTTTTTTTCTAGCTGGGGTCTCCACCTACATCTCCCTCCCCAAATGAGGCGATTGGTTCTCTGCTTCAAGGAGACACCTTGCTGAATTCCTAGAAAAGCTGTTATGCTTGGAGCAGAAAGCTAAGCTAAGCTGAGTGGAGTTGAAGTTGAAGATTCTCCCTTGTAACATCGAAACCAACTTTGGGAGACGGCCCTTTTGCTCTGAAACTTGAACGCTGCTTAAACCAAGGCTTTTGGCAAGTACTTTATCTCTCTAAATTCCTTTCTGTTATCTCTTTGCTGTGTTGTTGCTCTCTGTATATTTATATATATATTGGCTACATCTTTTCTGTAAATATTTTTATTGCACCCTTTTGACCTTTTAGTAATAAATCTTACTTTCTGCAAGTGTTGAACTGTTTCTAAAGCTCTTTAATGCAAACTAAGAATCCCTGCCTCTGAAGAGTGTTACTGTGTGTGTTTAAACTTCTGTATACCCTGCCGACGGTGACAGTGGTATACAGACGATTTTTTCAACCATCATAGTGTTATTGCTGATATTGCATAGTTTCCTCTTTCTCTGTACAAAAAGGAGGTGGTGGCAGTGTGAAGGGTTAATTGCGTAATTAACTTGACCCAGTAACAATCGCTCCCAGGCTGCAAGTCCACAGATTGGGGTCCATTAGCTGCAAAATCTTTGTGCAGGGTGCAGCTGGGCGTGGCATTGTTACGCACGTGACAGCGTGGTTTTAGATTGGCTAGTCCTTCGGTCACGAGTTTGGTGAGAAGGGCTGGGGTCTGACGCCGCGATCGTCACACCATGTGTTACCACTACTGAGATTCACCCCTTTAATGGTCCATGTCATCACTGTCACCAACCCAGAATGTGAGGGGAAATCTACAGTTTTCACTAGAGAGTAAGAAATCTTCCCAGTAAGACCCTTTCCTACTCTGTTGACAGAAACAATTGAGTACTGTCTGATACTTTTTTTAATTTGCATTAACATACAATTTTCAGGACAAGCTTTCAGGGTATGCCCCCTTCTTCAAGGTCCAAGTGCTACTACATAAAAAAAAATGTAAAAAGCATCACGGAGAGTAATTGTTTCTGTCGCAAGTGCACTAATACGGCTACAATCAACTCAAGCTACTCTGTTGGAAAAAATTTGCCCTAACATACATTCTAAAATGCTTCTTTTTTATGATTTTTGTTTTGGTGATTCTATGTATTTGAGTATTCCTAAAGAGTAACTCAACTTCTACTGAGAAAAACAATCCGGAAATGTATTTTGCTAGGGATTGTGAATAGGCAGGTAGGTGTATTTTATTGCAGAAGAGACATTGCATGTCTCTTTTACAATAAAGAGCTTGTCACTCTGCTGTAAATCAGAAATAACCCATCAATTTAACTGTTTATTAAAATAGGTACATTCAAGGCATGCCATGAATGATAACTGTCACAGTAGTTTATGCTCTCAACTGAGCTGTCAAGCCATCAAATGACTGGTGTCATAACTTATCACATGTGCAGCAGCATGGATGACCAAGCTGATTGGTTATTATGCACTGCTGCTCCCGTTTTGATTACTACCCCCCTCAGGTAGATAAAAAAGAAGCCAAATATTCACTATTGTTTCTGAGCCTTGCTACAGGGAAAAACAGTTCACAGCTACTGTATATAGCATCCCTATGCCTGTCAGCAGAATTTATGTGTTTTTTTGTTGATGGTGGGTAATGACAAAAAATATACAGTACAGTTAGGTCACATTCACATCTGTGTTTTTTGGTGCAGGACAATATAGGACAATGAATGGGCTGCCCTATGTGTGCCAATGTAACTCATGCTTGTGTATCTCTTTTTTGGCACTGAGCCAAGCGCATTTTAAAAATGAATGGCACCATGAATGCGATGAGTATTTTGGAGTGTTTTTCACATGTTCCCAGAATGCCAAAGTGAAAGTGGGGGCTTAAAAAAGAAGTATGGGTTCACAAAAAAACACACATAATCACCTCGGTGGATGCAGCATCAAACCTATGCTGCAACAGT